GCAGCAGCAGCAGCAACATCAGCAGCAGCAGCAGCAACAACAGCAGTAGCAGCAGTAGCAGCAGTAGCAGCAGCAGCAGCAGTAGCATCATCAGAATCAGCAGCAGTAGCAGCAGCAACAACAGCGGCAGCAGCAGCAACAACAACAACAGCAGTAGCAGCAGTAGCAGCAGTAGCAGCAGCAGCAGCAGTAGCATCATCAGAATCAGCAGCAGTAGCAGCAGCAACAACAGCGGCAGCAGCAGCAACAACAACAACAGCAGTAGCAGCAGTAGCAGCAGTAGCAGCAGCAGCAGCAGTAGCATCATCAGAATCAGCAGCAGTAGCAGCAGCAACAACAGCGGCAGCAGCAGCAACAACAACAACAGCAGTAGCAGCAGTAGCAGCAGTAGCAGCAGCAGCAGCAGTAGCATCATCAGAATCAGCAGCAGTAGCAGCAGCAACAACAGCGGCAGCAGCAGCAGCAGCAACAACAGCAGTAGCAGCAGTAGCAGCAGTAGCAGCAGCAGCAGCAGTAGCATCATCAGCATCAGCAGCAGTAGCAGCAGCAACAACAGCGGCAGCAGCAGCAACAACAACAACAGCAGTAGCAGCAGTAGCAGCAGTAGCAGCAGCAGCAGCAGCAGCAGCAGTAGCAGCATCAGCATCAGCAGCAGTAACAGCAGCATCAACAGCGGCAGCAGCAGCAGCAGCAGCAGTAGCAGCATCATTATCATCAGCAGCAGAAGCAGCAGCAGCAGCAGTGACAGCAGTAGCCGCAGCAGCAGCAGTGACCAGTGGCAGCACAGTAGTAGCAGATGCAGTAGCAGCAAAGTAGCAGCACCACCACCACCATCACCACCGCCACCATCACCACCACCACCATCACCACCGCCACTATCACCCCGGCGTGTCATACTCCATCCATCCGACCCAACGTCACCCACCCCGGCGTGTCATACTCCATCCATCCGACCCAACGTCACCCCCACCTCTCCGCCCCCGCTATCTCTGAGCTCTGCTGGCATCAAACACACGCGGAGAAAAAGCAATTCCGCGCGTGGAAGGAGGGGGGGAGGGATTGGAGACGATTCCTTTCGGCGCCCGTGTCAGCATGCGAGCATGCTCCACGCGAAGCGGAGCTCCCGCTGCTGCTCTTAGCCGAGGAAGGAGGGGGTGAAGCCCTGATATCTTCTGATGAACTGCCATGAGCTGAATGGCCAGCTTTCTATCAGCCACGTAAGCTGCGCGAGTGTCTTATAGTGGTAGAACTGATCTAATCATATCCTACTATCTTATCTATCTATGACTATCTATCTATCTATCTATCATATTCATCTAATCTAACCTATCTAACTATCTCCCCGTCGTCTCATCTCTGTCCTCTCTCTCTATATATACGTATAGTCCGACCCGATCGGTTCTTATCGGGGATCGGCCTCGAAAGGGGGTTTTCGCCATGAACGTAATATAATAATAAATTCTATATTTAAAAATAATTAATAGAATACTGGGATTATCATGTACGCGTGTGGTATTCGGCTGGGGAAACACGTCCGTGTAAAAACATCAGCTTATAATATAAGCGAGGGTTGTCGTGTACGGCATATATCCAATATATAATAATAAATTGCTATATCAATGCAGTAATGAGAAGCGATGGAGCGAACGACGGACGGTGTGATTATAGCTCGTACATTCTACTCATCTCGCTCTGCATCGTTTTTTTTCTGTCGCGCTATTTATTTTTGTGTGTCATGAAAGCGTGCTCTACGAATCTAATATGCCTTCGCAGTTCGTTGATGCCGCGTTTAACAAAGATCTGCATCTGCCTGTAAGCGATTCGTTACTAAGTGTTCGGTAAGTATTCCGCAATCGCACCACTGAAGCTCATCTGGGTTTTTAGCTCCATCTGACATAGTCAGATGCAGCCTTGTAAGAAAGTCGCAATGATCGTCCGTCCGTTCCGTCCCGTGCGAGCGTCGTTCCGTCAGTCCGTCCGTCGTCCGTCCGTACCGTCCGTTCAACATTGGCACAAATCTAAACGGCTCGACGTACGGTCATGTATATTCGGGACGTGGGGGGGGTAATCCGGAAAACGAGTCTGGGATGTCGAAGTGGGGTCAAAGGTCAAAGGTCAAGAGTTAAAAGCAGGGAACATTCACTCCTTAACCTTAAAGGTATAGGGAGGAAATGCAGAATGCGGCAACAAATCTAGAACGGCTCGAACTAGGCTCGTGATAGTTGTGGTATTAGCATCAATGGAGGAAAAGCCATCCTGTGGCCGAAGATGGAGGTCACAGTCAAATTCAATGGCCAGGGCAGATTTTAGACAATTTTTCCCCCTGAGGACATGGTCTGACGAGCGATTGAAAAACTTTTTTGTTTCACGCGGTGACCTAGCATTTTATGGCATTAATTGAAAGGACCATGAAATCTAACTTTCTGCTGACATGCGAAAGTAAGTGTCAGATAACCTTTTGACCCTCAAGAGGAGGGTTAAACATGGATTTGTTGACTGTCCTGTTAGAAAGAATTTGACTGCCGGTTGCTAGTGAATCTATACATGCCTAGGATGTAAGTGAGGCTACCAATAGTCAACAGTGAAAAATTTCAAAAGCTAAATTTGGTTAAAGAAGGTTTCTTGCTCCTTAAATCGTAATAATTTCTAAATGGCATTCCTGTACTGTCAGTATTTACATTGTACCTGCGTGGAAGTCCAGCTGCAGTGAGCTACTGACGCATAGTGACATGTCGCTTGGTGTACTGTGTAATTTTTGACCAGCGGATTACATATTGGTTTTATTCAGTGAACTAGCACTCTCTATTGGCACACGCCTGTAGGCTTGCCTAGTGTAAATGGATGAGTGCTTACCTATTGCTGTCTGCAATAGTTGTTCTACTGACGTACGATGGAAGCTTCCAATCTTTAATCTGAAGACAGCTTAAGACGTAACGCGCGCATCTCGTGCAACTTTCAGTATAACGGATCCCAACGAGACATTCCTTTGAGAAGGTCCTGATACATCCCGTGCATTCCAACTGTTTCGGCGTGTATGTGTAACACATGGACTAACAGGGTTATACCTAGAATCCCACCACGTCCCACCAAAACAGAGTCCCACGCCGCAGTAGACGTTACGATGAGCGCGTGTCGCTCTGCGGCAACTTTGTTTAGAGTACTCATCAAATGCCTCATTTAGCCATTCTGTCTGTGAGATCCCCCCATATCTTTCGGCTAATATCCTGAAATCCGGATTTTTGAATGTTCCCTGTGTCGTAAACGCTCAAACGTGTATCTGTGAGCATTTAGCTGTTTCAGTTGGCCTCGTAGGTACGCTCGAACACCCGCTGAGAGTGCTTATTGGTGGAATAGTAAACCTCTCCCTTACTGAGCGGTTTGTTTCTCACCGTTGACCGACCATATCGCAGACATCTACGCCCAACGATAGTAGTTTTGCTCTCATGAAGGAAGCAAATAACAGCAGAACTAGGTAAGTATATCTATACACTATGCTCGTGACACATGAGTGAAACATACAGCCGACTCTATGCGGCATGGACGCCGAAACACCGCGCCACGAATTCAGGGCACGCACGACGAACACACATGCTAATAGTATCAGCATTGCTAGTGCTAGAATGAAACCGCGCATGAGTAACTCTCGCGAGAAATCCTCAGATTGGTGTTAAGAGAAATTATTAGCGCTTACAACACCATTCTTATTACTGAGACTCTTTTGTGTTTGTTGTTGTCGTAAGGGAAAAAATTGCTAACCACCCTCTCCCTCTGTCATTTACGACAGCGCGGCTTTCATAACCTACACGGTTAGGACTATGAGCGCGCACAGTTGATTATGCACAGGATAAACAAATCATAGCAGAGAGAGGACAGCGCGGTGAGAAGATATGATATAGCCAAACACCAGGCAGACGACTTACGTTTCACATGTTGCAGATCTCAAGTCTAACTAGATGAATATAGAATGACTGCCGGATAATAGCGTTAGCGCATCAGCACTAACACTGCGGGCATAGGTAATTTTTTCAGCTGTCACGTTGCCGTCAGAGTTGCGCGTATAATATGTTTATAAGCATCGAACTGCGCACCGAGCGATATTGCGCAGAGGTGATTATACGCGCGGGAGGAACGCTCTTACTATAAGAGGCGATTGAGTTGTGCAGTAGATAAAGGGTGAGGTGGTCAGTATTGGTGTGAGGAGAGAGATGTTTACAGAGACAAGAACTGTTGGAGATAATTGTTTATAGCGAGAGCATGATAGAGTAAAAGCGTCTTACGAGTTTGGTCAGGTTAAAGGAGGGAGAGTTGAGAATGAGAGTGGTGTTAGTTTATGTAATAGTATGTCGAGTTACACACGACACGAGAAAACTTATTAGTTAATGAGTATGTAGTTTATAAAGTAATGATGAGACTTATCGCGAGACCAATGTAGTATTAGAAGATGTAGTAAGCAGCAGGCGTCGAGAAGCAGGATGCGACTTGGCCAGGGGTTCTCTAAGGAGGAGAGGAGTTGTTTAGATCTGCTCTATTCGACATGTACGAGCCGGGATTTAGAGTGTAGAGGGTATGGCGACGGTTATGGGACTCTGCATGCGAGCTGAAGGCTCTGATTTGGCAGAGATGGGGGGCGGTTCGGGATGCCGTAGCGTCACGATTCTGCCCTGGAGATTCGCTAATAGCGCGACCGGTTTAGCACCCCACATGTGGTTCAAATGCATAAAAGTATGCACTGCCTATGGATAGGAGGTTTTGAACGTCCCGATTTTGGAAAGCGCACACGGTCAATGACAGCGCAACCGTCAACACTATGTGTCATGCGGGTGATTGCCCGGCCAGTCGACCTAACGTTCGACCCGAGGCGCAATTTTTGGGCAAAATGAAATGGCCATAGAGTTCAGTTCAGGTTCAATGATTTTGCTAATGTTCTTTGGTGAAGTGAATGAATGAGGACCGGTCCAAAACCATATCACAGGCAGGTTTTGATTTTTTTTAAGATTATGCAAATTAGGTAGATTTTGGCAATCTGTTCACTATGTCATTTCAGTGTCTGCCTACGGTCACGATAACTCAAGACCCGTTTGACCCACATTTTCAAATTGAATAGCGAGTTGTTACGCCTATGGTAGAGATTTGAACGTTCCTATTTTGGACGCGCTCATGCCTTACTGACCTAATCCTTTCCGATCACGGTCGGCGTAACCCACTTATGGCAAAAATGAAAATGGCCATCTAAGTGTCATTCGATTTTGTTCAAAATCTTCGTGCGTAGTTGGAATGTGTAAGTGCAGGCCTCCAAATCAGCTGTTACTCTCGAGCGCTCTCCCTCTATCGGTCGATGAGACACATACGGTCCCCACTTTAGCCGTTCTTATTTTCACTTCGGTTCAAATCTCTCTCCAGTTCTGGTATCACTTCGGTTCCAACAACTTCGAGCGCGCTCTCTGTCTCTCGACTCTCTCACTCTCATCGAAGCGCCGCGCGCTCTCGTCTCTGGCTTCTCTTCTAAGTAGGAGCGCGCCGCGTCCTCTCCTATGCCAGATTTATTTATTGCACTATATTATGTCAGCGGCTATCACATACTATTTGTTTTGAGGAATCTACGGTACAGGGGTAATTTACTGGGAATATTTTCTTATCTCACGTCGCGTTTTTATCTTGTCCGGGCGATACTCTTCGTCATAAACTCTCTCCTCAAAACTTTGTGCGATCATCTTCTATTCGCTCCCGTTACGCGCGCTATCTTCTCTCACAGATCTCACGACTTTCTAGATCGCTGAAACATTTACTAGTTTTCGCACTCAAAACTTATGCATATAATTCCACTTTCTCAAAAAGGAATATAAATCATTCGGGATACTATGCGTAATTACTCTGCTATGGCATGGATCACGTTTCCCCATATTATCACTGCTTGCTCTTATCAATATCTCGCCCTTCCCTTCTCTATCTCGACACCAAGGTGATCACAGTGCCATTTGCGCGGACACACTCTTCACTAAGTACATTTACATTTAATTAGTAAGAGACGTCTTAGAGTAAACAAGAGTCCTCCCCGGAGATGGCTGTCGTGTGTATAAAATTCGCGACGGCGCGGCACGAATTCGTGCGTGCAAATAGTACATTCGCTGAATGCGTTTGAGCTTGGAAAAAAAAAACACGCAATTTCCGGATAAAATGTTTGGCGCGCAATATTCTAATTCCTAATGGCATATTACTATTTAATTCGATTTGTCGTGCGAGAAAACAGAACCCCGGCTGTTCGACCGAGCAAGATGAACCGTGCCTTAAGTCAAAACTGTATATATATAATATAGAGTGCGTCCAGAAATTCCAAACTCACTCAGCGTGTATGGTGGTGCGCCGCCATCTCCGTTCCTACCGAGAGACACTCTACACGTTCTCGCCCTCCCTCTCGCTAACTCCGTGTTATTCCCCTTTCAAAACCTTCTGCCCCACGGCAGTCTGATTCTCTCTGCGTCTCTGGATCTGCCTCTCGCTTTTCTTCCTCATATATTTGGCCTTCGCCGCAGCGCCGTCGAGTGTCTATTCGCTCTATCAAAGATCGCAGCAAAACTCTCCCTTTTTCGCATGACACGAGCGTCGGAGATCTCGTTTGAAGACGGCCTCAACCATGCCGTGTTCTTGTTCGGAGCTGCGCGCTAGCTCTGTCATTCCCGCGCAGATGTTCATTTGCAAACTATGAAATCTCTTGCCGTACCACTTCTATCCCTTGCGAGTCCGGATTTGATACCCCGACCTCGCTCCGTATACCCCGACAGCTGGCCCGTATGATCTCCTTCGGACCTTTTGCGATAAATCCTCACCTTGCTCTGCTATTATTATCCGCGACTCCTCGCCGTACTATTTCACCTTGCGACCTCGCCCTATATTACGGCGACCTTCGCGAGTCTTTCGGCCCGTACATCTTCCGCGACGCTTGCCGTATACAAGCGACGACCGCGCTGTTCCGGCTATTACTACACGACCTTCTGCTCGCATATCGCGGCCTCCGTATATACGCGGCCTGCGTTATATACGCGACGCTGCCGTATATACCCTTCTCTCTTCTCTCATCGCTATATCCGGTTCGTCAATCACCCAGGAGAG